TCTGGGCTTGACGGAACCTGTGACACGGTCAAAATGGCGGTGGTGGCCACCTCCCATTTACCCTCAGAAATGTGTTATTGGAGCCTATGGAAATGAATTGTCCAGTATATATTTCGATGGTTCCGTCAGAAAGAAGTTGGTAAAAACTGCTGCCATCCAGTTGTCGGAGTTTGAATTACGCCACACAAAAGAAGTGTAGTAAATGTTTGCAAGTAAATTCCCAATAAATAATCTATACACTGCTTTTAAATATAAATTCAGTGTCATAACACAAAACATTGCAATATACCATTGTATTAATACTTTCCAACATCCCTAATGAGTTAGACTGTACTGCATAAATAAGAAAACTGAGGCTATAATTTACTCATGCTCACCAAAACCGGACAGTTAGAGATTAGGGAGTGAGTTATAAAGATTCATTTGTTTTCATGTTGAAAGATTCTGCTTCAAGTTATCAATGATTTATCCTCATCAGATCAGTCTTATGAACGAGTTTTTTTCCTAAATCAACAGAATCAAAGAAGATGATGTAACTTGTTTTTAAAATCACATCTAGCTTCTTTAGCTTCCCTAAAATAATTAGCTAACCGAGACTTTTAACAGTGTTTTTGCTCATAACCTCTTCGCATTGCTGCTGTACAGACTGAATAATCAGTGAACGTCTGTGTGTTTATAAAACATCCATGGCTACAGCCACTGTGAGTGGCTGATTGGCTGTCCTGGCAACTGTCTCTGTCCTTTCAAAGAGAAGGCAGGAGCTGAGTGCTGTTAGCACTGAGCTGGGAAGACAGTTATTGATTCTCTGCTTGTCTATTATTTTTATTTTTCCTAGAAAAAAAAAAGAGTGAGAAAGACGTGTGTGTGCGTGCGTGCGTGCGTGTGTCTGTATCTGTGTCTGTGTGTGTGTGTGTGTGTGTGTGTGTGTGTGTGTGTGTGTGTGTGTGTGTGTGTGTGTGTGTGTGTGTGCTGCCCATTAGCCTACAGCTGTGGAAGTGTCAGCACAACCAGCATCTGCACACTGTTGCTGTTCAAAGCTAATCTCCAGCCAGCTAACACAACATCCATCTCTGTTAATACATCTTTCTCCTTCTCACATCACTAACTAATTGGATGGAGAGTAACAGTTGAAGAAATGTGTGTAATTCGTTATTTTTAGGAGTACACACTTGTGTATTTAGATTTAAAAACTAGTTATGTAAGTAGATTTGTAATCTAACTGGAATTGTCCTTGTTTCATACAAGACATGTCTGGTGTCTGATATAAATATGTGGCTTTGCAGATCCTCAACCTGTCAGACAGACCCTTGTAGCCCAGGCTGTGCTTTTGCAGGAGAGATGTATTAAAATGCAGATGCTGTCACCTGGTGTTTTTAATAAAGCCGCAACTAAAATTCAGTGCAGACCTTGGGGTGGAAGATTTGACTGCCCTCTCAGCCCAAGATGTTGAGTACAAAAGCTTTTCCTGTCTTTAAATTATCCAAGTGTGGATGGCAAGAGTCCAAATTTGGACTGGGGGCACCAAATTGAGCTTTGTTCACCGTGGGAGGTGCCAGGGGTCAGTTTAAAATTCAGGAGCCACTTCATGCACTATGCATTAGACGTAATGTGTGGAAGTGCCGCAGTACCAACGACCCTGTCCCCACATACCCACAACGTTTTTGCACACACTGTTGTTATCTTGTGCATAAACTCATGCACACATTATCAGCCACCTTAAGACAAGTAGTGAGCTTTTATGCACACATGCAGACTCACACTGTCCTCCCTTTTATATGCCCGGACGTGAGTGGAACAGTAAAGCTAAATCCTCTTGTCACATTTGCCACTCATCTCCAATTCAAAGGAGCAGCCCGCGATGCCCTCGGATGCACTTGGCAAGTGAACGGCTAACCTACCCACAAGCATATCTGCCTGCCAGCTGAGCACAGAGGCAGTTAGCATGCCAACTAGCCCACCCAGCAGCCACAAGCTAATGCTTCACTAACCCCACGCTGCCCTGTGTCTCCTACTCTGACTGCGTGTTAGCATGTGTGTGGACACAAGCAGAGTTCAGCAGCATTGTGTGGCAGAGTAAACTGTGAGTTACAAGTGTTATTTTACACTTAAGTACCAAGAGAAATACCTAATGCTAGTTGGTTTTGCAAATGCAGAAATAAGCTTCAGGGAATGTAAATGAGGATCTTATGAGAAGTATAGCTTTACATATATAGAAAAATATCATATTTTCACAAATCAAGCAGTCCTGTTATTGTTTATATTTTATATGTACATAAAAACATATAACAGTGATATATTAGAAAAGTTTGCTAGAGAATAGCTCTCTCTTTTTCTACTCTTTACCAAACCGACTAGCTGCTTTTTCCTAGCTTTGCATTCACAAGGCTAGTAGCTCTAATGTGTTCACACAAACACCCACAACATTCAGCAGATTTAAGCAGCTTGCATTGTTTTGCATTGGACTGCAGTAGGGCTGCTTGATTATGGCAGATATAATAATTACAAAGTCTTTAAGTTGATCTTTAATTAATGATAAAACAAACCCTTTTAATTTATTCTTTATTTAACCGTGAAGGTCTCACTGAGATTAAATACCTCATTTTCAAAGTGCAATACTGCAAGTACTGACAACAAGAGAGAGATACACAGTGAAAACGTTTGTAATATAAAAATAGGAGAAAACTATAAACTATAAAATTCTGGTTATACGATATTTATCGCGATACATGGGGACACGAAACGATATATCACGATATGATGCGATACATTCAGCCAGACGATATTAGCATTTTTTAGACTGAACTTATTGTAATAAAAGTCAGTAAACAGTCCAAACTGATACGTATGTTTAACATGAGGAATGTGAACCAAAACAGAGGGATTATCATTTCATCGGTGGAAACAAAAACCATTGCACACAGCTGCCAACTAGCGGTCGGCGTTTGAATTGCACCAAAAGAAAAGAAAATACGCAAATGTTTGCATATAAATTCTTCCAAAAAATTTGATACACATCTTTTGATTATCTATGTAATATCACAGGAAAATATATCACAATATATTACCATATTGATATTTTCTTGCATTCCTAATAAACATCTATGTTGTAGTGAGCTTCCACAGCCTGCTGCATAATGAATAATTAGCCCTGTTCAGTGGTGTTGTAGTGGAGTGTGTACAGTAGCATGATGCAATGTGTCACTTAGATACATGAACTATCATTGTTTTAGTGTGAGAAATGGGAGGTGTGGAGTCAAAGGCATGTCTGACGCTCATTGCCTGAGAGTTTGCAGCCCTGATAAAATATACATCCACTTCAAATATCGCTCGCTGTATCTTGAATTTATTTTGCTGTTAAAACATCTGCTTTTTTGAGTGAGTCAGGTCCAGAGAAAGGTTTGTGATTGGTCAGTCGATGTAACGCGATCATGCCATACACACCATTACCGTTGGAAACGCCTGTGTGTGGGAGGTGCACTTGATTCGCATCTCGGAGCAGCGCGAGGGTAAATCACGAGGGAGGAGCGAATAATGGTCTCATTTTGTTTTTATAATCATTCAAAACTCAGATCGTAATTGTGATTTAAATTCGATTAACTGAGCAGCCCTAGACTGCACAAAGTATCTAACAGCAGTAGCTTCAGCTACAGCATTAACACCATAACGCAGCACATAAACTCATTTCAAAAACCTAAAAGCTCTGACAGACAGTTGTAAGAAAATACATTTGCATGTCTTATTGAGTATGTTTACATGCAGCCAATATCCGGGTTATGATCGGGTTAAGGTCGGGATTCGGGTTTCTGAGTTGATCAGAATAACCCGTTTACAAGCATAAATAAAAAGAGTTACCTCTAACTTGCATAACCCGATTTAAATGCGGACGTTGGGGTAGCGTCAGGACGTATGGACTACGTCCAGACGCAATATGCGTCATTTCCGGTTCTTCTTGTTCTGGTATCTGTGAAAACAACAACATGTTTCCCAGTTCGGAAGAGATAGCGACCGCGTTTGTTTGCACTTTAGTTTCCTCGTCACTCAAAGTGTGGTGCTGTGCCGCAACTCGCCATTTTGCTCCCAACTTGTTGTTTACTTCCGGTGTTCTGGCGCATACAAGACGTCTCGCTACTCAAAAGACCAAAATTCTTTGCGAACAGAGCATGCTCAGAACACACGCTTTGATGGGGATATCCCGATATGCGTTTACACGACCAAACATTCGGGTTAGAAAAGGGTTACCCCAGGTGGAGTAACCGGGTTTTAAAAAACCCGGTTATGAGCATATCCGGGTTTTTGGCGGTGTTTACAAGGACCTGCGGAATCGGGTTATTGTGAATATTTGGGTTTTAAAAGGGTTACTGGCTGCATGTAAACGCACTGATAGTACATCTCTCTTACTTTATGTGAAAACATGTTAGGAGGTTGATTTGTTTGATTAAAAGTCTAAGTGGCAAAACTTCTTCAACATCAAATTATAATCTCAAACTCCCTTCCACTGCAAACACACTGAGGTATGTTTTGTAGTTTGCTCTCCTTGTCCTCTCTTTTAAACCACTGACAAAGTGTCTAAAATCTACATTTGTGTTGAATGTGTGCAGCTGAATGCACGTGTAATAAAATCGAAACAAAAACATCTAAAAAGTATTTGAATTAAATCAGTGTTGGCGTTTGTAACATTTGGTTTGACTGTTGAAAGTTTTTCTTGTTCATCTGTGAATCTTTTCCTCCTAAATAAAGTTTCTGACTAATGAGCCGTGTTTCCACGGTAACCTCCTGCAGCGAAACAAAGTCATAACTGATATTTAAATAGCAAAGTTTCCTGTTATTTTGGTAACGTGACGCCGGAGCCTCCGTGTTTATGCATGAGGAACTCACATCCTGGTTCCTGTGAGTCTCTTTTCCTTCCAGTGATGTAAATTCATAATTTGACAGTCTCTCTTCTTGTTCACCCCCCCATCTCACCCACCCACTTCCTTGTGTCTCTCTTTCCTTTCTTCCAGAGCTCTTTGACGAATCATGGCTGAGGAACACAAAGAAATCAGCAGCAAGTGGAGAAGAAATGAAGAAACTGAAAACACATCAAATCTGCCTGTTTTTCTTTCTCCTTCTGTGGGTTATTGGTCCATCCATTAGTTTGGTCACAAATGACCCTCTCCTCTTTCTCATTCAGCATTTATCTTCTCCTTTCCTCTGTAGCATCTTGATTTGTCACTTCAGCGTGTAAGATGGGCTGATTTATTGTCAAGTTGTGCCAGAGCTCCCCTCCTGCTGCTGCTGCTGAAATAAATTCCAGTGATCCAGTGATGATGAAACAGGAGGTTGTCTTTCTTTGTGTGTGTGTGTGTGCGTGCGTGCGTGCGTGCGTGCGTGCGTGTGTGTGTGTGTGTGTGTGTGTGTGTGTGTGCGTGTGTGTGTGTGTGTGTGTGTGTGTGTGTGTGTGTGTTAGCCCCTGTGACAGCGTTGAACCCTTTTCATGGTTTCATAAGAGAGGGGAGGAGATGATGGTTAAATGAATTGCTGGACAGATGAAGTGTGAATTGTCTCTAGTGTGTTAATTTTGTTCTCAGTGTGTTTTTTTCCCTTGTATACTGGAATCATAAGTGTGTGTGCTGTCATCTATAGGTGTTTGCACATGAGCAGCACACCAGACAGGGCACGTATTGTCCCTACTAGCTGTGTTTCCATGGTGACAGCAGGGGTTTGTGCCAGCAGCAAGGTGTGGAGGAACCTTCCAGATAACCCTGAAGGTCAGCAAACAGAGCGACGCCTCATAGCAGTACTCCAAACTTACACACTTAGCCCCCTCCGTCGTGTGTGTGTGACACAGTCAGGATGCTTTTCCACTTATATATGGACATGGCTGGCCACACTTGGAGTGACGGAGGCTCGTTATCGTGTCCACACACACTCGAACACTAAGTGCACACATGCACAGAATTTGGAGGGAATTGTAACACACCTTCAAACACACGTGTTCACACAAGTGGCTGTCAATGACAGTGTAGTGGAGTGTGTGTGTTAATGATAGTTGTGAGAAGTGATTTATTGATCACAGTTTGACTCCTGCTTGCCACCACAGCATCGATCACGCTGTCCACAAAGCCACGGACCGATCTGCACAATACACGCCCCATTACAGAAGCCAAGTGAAAGGGAAAAAGTCAGATGAGAGAAATGGACTCCAGTCTTTTGAGAGTTCTGACTGTGAGTCAGTGAACCGTTCAGGCTACAAACCACATTCCCAAGTAGTAGGATGCTCCAACCCCTCACACACAAACACACACACACACACACACACACACATTACCTATATTAAAGGCAGCATGATATTAAAGGTTTCAGCCAGTGACTCCGATATCCTTTCTCTCTCCCTGACATTTCTTTACAAATACCAGCCTCTATTCAATCTGTTATTGCCTTCTCCCATTCAGCAATTCTCTGATTAAACAAGCTCCTGAAAAGCCCTAGCACTGCTATCTGCCATTTGGCTTGTATTAGAAACCCATCCCCTTTAATTAAATTGGTTGAATTACAGAAATATCAGTGATATTTTTGCAAATATATTGAGTAAGAGCACAATGGGTGGGAAAAAAGATTGACGCATGGGCTTTATGAGCTGTTTTGAATGTGGTTTGTCGCTGAAATGAGATAAACACAATCTTGATGTGGCGGAGTGTTTATATTTTTTAGGAAGCTTGGTTTGTTCAATCTGATTGAGTCCTTCTCTCCAAGCTTCATTTCAGCGATGCACCTCTAGTGTCATGCCTTTTTCCCCCTTTTTCTTTTTATTATTATTTTTTTTATTAACGTGGAAGATGTGGGATTGAGGTTGCTGTGGAAACCAAGCCGGCTTTGATTGGGGGAGACAGCTGGATGGTGCAAGGTTAGGCGATGGCCACTCACGACTCGCAATGCACCACTATTGATTTCCACACAAATTACTGGACCCTGTTGAGTACGACGGGTTGCAGAAATTGCGTGTCGTGTTGAAGTTTGGGTGTTTGTGTATTTTTATTGTGAAATTCACTTTGCAGTCAGCACACAGGAGAATTTGTCTTCCTTTTATTCCCACCCACTTCAATGTGTGTGCTTATTTTCGAATTCAAGCAGATGAGTTTGAAGTCTGGGCAAAGAGTCTCATCTTGTCTTCTTTGAGTTATCTCATGGTTTTGTTAAACCACTGTTCTCTCTGAAGTCCTAATGGGGATGTGCAGTAAGGAAAGAAAAAGCTGTTCAATAGACAAACAACCACAAATACCATTTTCTTTTTGGAGTTGGCCCACTACTTTACCCCCTGTGATTCTCACTTTCTCACCGTCTCCCTCTCATTCCTCGGCCAGCTTGGCATTATGTATGTAAGAAGTTGACACTGAGCCTAACTAGAGTGTGTGGCTCCATCAGTGACAGTCGTCATCTTTTTTTTTTCATTTTTTTTATTTTTTTGCAGCTCGTTAGCTAATTAAAAAGTATTTTATTAAACAGCAATAATGTGATCTGGTTTGCCGTTAAATGAAATTAGACCCCCCACCATACTTAACTGTGTTGACATCCACATCTCATTTGGGTGGAGGGATGGAGGAAACAGCCACAGGGGTGGAGGAAGTGGAAGAAGGTTAAAGGTAAGTGTTTAAAGTTAAAGTCCAATTAGTCATCATCACTAATTAAAATTGAATCTCCACATTTGACCCATCCCCGTCTCCATGAGTAGCAGTGAGCTGCAGCAGTGGCTGTGCTTAGGAAATATTTGGTGTTTTAACCTCCCAAATCAACCCCTTAATGCTGAGTGTAAAGCGGGGAGACATTGGGTCCTATTTATAAAGTATTTAGTGTGATCCAACCATGGATTTGAACCACAAATCTCCCAGTCCCAGGGCAGACACTTATACCATTTGGCCACTGAGCTACATTTATTGGGACTTTGGTTATTTTGAAGTGTATGTTAGAAACTTTAATATTTTGTCGACCCAAATTTTGGTGTCACATTTTTTAGGGGGAAGTTTAATGCAAAACTCACTTTTTGTATCATTTAGTGCTGCCAGGTGGGTCTCTACTGCCTCTATAAACACTTCAAATCTGAGAAAAACTCATCCAGTCAAGGAATGATCTGCCTAAAAGGAGCCGTTTAATTTTTTTTTCCAGTTTGTGATGTCACAATAAGGGAAATTAGTATAAAAAACCCTCTCACCTGAGGAAACAGCTTAGAGCCCCTCCCACACATCCAAGCTCCTCGTCTCATAGCAGCCAATCAGGAGAGGGGTGGGTGTGGTCAGCCCTGGCTTGTTTCCTAAACCAAGAAAAACAAGCAAGTCTTAGTCTTATGATGAGTGGATTAGTTTGGCATTCTCCTCCTGGGATTTGGAGGATGGATGGGTAAAAGGGGGAGTAGAGATAACCAGAGAGTTAGGTAGCAGCAGGGCACCTGGAGTTAAACATCATTGGAATGAGGGTGGAGCAGTTCATCAGCTCCACTGTCACAATGTTGCACTGGGGGCATAAAGAAGAGGGGCAATAAAAGCAGGAAGCTGTATGGATTCAAGACACGAGCAATGAGATAGACGAAGCAAAGAAAAAGAGGCCAAGGTTAAGAGGGACTGAGGATACTTCATGGGAGCAGAGAGATTCAGGGATGAGGATGAGGAAAGGTGGGAAAATAAAACAGAGTGGATGAGGATGGGAGAAGCAGTCTGAGGAAGATAACTCCCCCTCTCTGCTTTATTTTATTACGCTGGTGGATAAAAAGAATTCAGCATCTTCTAAAGTCATTACAGTCTAGTAAGACTTGTTCAGAGGGCAATGTAGCTCCTTAACCCTACTCAGCACACACATGGATGTGTGGGGGGTCTCGGGAGGTGATTGACCAACAGAGTGCACAGACCCAAAAGACAGATCTTCCGTGTGTGTGTGTGTGTGTGTGTGTGTGTGTGTGTCACCAAAACAGTAGAGCATTGGTTAATCCTTCCTAGTAACTAGGATAAGCCACCAGCTTTATCTTCCTTTTTTTCCTCTGGAAGCTCCTGTTCCTTTTCCCGTAACACCCTGCATTCCCTCTTCTTATTACCTTCCTCTTCAGCTCCAGACTTTAATGCCTCCTTTTGTATTTAGGGCCTGCAAACTCATTTTGTTCCAGCAGTCGGGGCTAACAAGGATTCTGCATTTCTTTATTGGCAAGCGCTGCGCAAGATTTGATGGCAGCTTTTGGGTAGAAGAAAGATTTTGCTGCCATCAACAATCGTGTCACCATGCTCTTGGCAAGGCGGTGTGATATTGTGACATCATCCTTCTGCAACTAACATATTTTTTATAAACCAGTTTCTTTGTGCTCTAGAGTGTATATTTGGGTGTCTTCCAACATAGAAACTGAGAAAAAACACAATCATACTAGTTTGTTTTGGACTCCCGAAGTAAAGAAAATATTTTAGCCAATGAAAGCCATCCTTCATCTTTTAAGCTTCCCTCCACTTCACACATATTGACTGCTGCATATGGAAAGAGCCAGTAATGCACCAAAAGTACTTATTCTTCTTATTATTATTTTGCATATTCATAACCTTCAGAATAAAACATTTAGGAATGTAGCCCTTCAAAGTAAAACCCTTTGGGGTTTTTTTCTGGCTTGGTTGATTTAATATACAAAATCATTTTTTGCTCAAACAGCCAGAAAACCAATGTAAATATTAGAATAAAGGGTCTGTTTAGCAGATTTGTAAATGGTAGTCTGAGCTTGGTTGCCGTGTGCTGCTGCGAGAGGTTCAGGTGAACCCTCTCTTCAAGCTTGGGAACATAGTTGCACAAAGCAATCTGTAAGCATCCTTCTTACCTTCTCCAGAGTGAAGCGTTGTGGGTATTCAACCAAAGCACACAGACTTGCATATTCCCCTTTGGAAAATCAGTAATGCAGCGATTACACAGATTAGTTATACATGGATGAAATGCTGCTTGGTTAAAAGATAGCACTTTTTTCTCACAAAGAAACAAAAATGCATGAAAAACAGTGAAAAGTAAAAATGAAGCAAAAGATGATTGTCTTTTTAAATTTAATTAATCAACATAAATTTCTAATATTTGTCCATTATGGCTTCTGTCTCTGTATGCCAGAGTTAAACTACAACCAATAATCTAATAGCTAACAGTATTGCCATTGTGCCCATTAATTACTTTAGCAATAATATAAAGTTCAGCAAGTGATTTTTTTTGGGCTGCATGCTTGTCTGACCAGCAGCATGTTTGCAGAGAGCTTCTGCAGATAGGAGATGGAGGAAGAGCTTGAGATGAACTCGTGTGTGTGTGCAAGCATCTCTAAAAGCACATGACC